ATATTATTAATAACAGTTATGAGATCATATAATTGTGAATGTATATATGAAATTGATAAAATAAAATAAAATTTTTTTAAAAAAGAATATGTTATAAAGGTGTAAAGTCATTGGAGGTTTATTGAGATTGCGAATGTATGCCAGTAGGTGGGGGGAAAAAAATATTATCTTTTTTTACTGTTTCAAATGAAGCTGTTTTGGATTGGTCAAAGTATCCAGCCTGGAAAAATGTCCAGAATTGATCCTTCCCAGAAATGTTACTACGTACCGGTTATCAATAAGCGAGATCAAATGAACTGCATATCGGGTCCCAAGCAACTGTTTCATCTGTACGGGGAAGAAATTATTGTTATTACCAATCGTAAAGTCGTAAATTCAGTTTGCAGAGTTAAGGATTAACTCTGCATCTCAACCGAAAAAATACTTAAGACCTTCACGGTCCAGTTCTTAATTTCTCACCCTTCCCTAAATCCTGGAACATGCTTACACTTCATTAAGTTTCCTGGCACAGAAGAAAATTATCGAAGATCTTAATTTGGAAGCAGTAGACCAAATATGGGTGAAACCTACTCATTTAATTTGACCAAGTAGGACTGGCTAAACTCATCCACGGGAAGCGGGGGGGGGCTCTCTTCTATCAGGTGTTCTCCATGCCTGAAGTCAAAGACCTTGCTCCATTACCTTGATCTTCAGACTTTCCAAGTGTTCTTGGGCAAAGTTCTCGTCCCCAAATGTGGAGCCCAGTTCCAGGAGACTGAAAAATACAGCCAAATTCTCAGGTTCTAGATTTTTCAAGCCGAATCCTAGTGAAAACCAGAGGACAATTCTAAGAAGCACGTCCACCAGCAGAAGCATCTTCCCATTACAAATCAACCACCAATAGTTATCAATCTCGAAAATAAATTTCGGTAAGTTTGCTACTGCCTTGTTGTAGGAAGGAAATTAAGTCCCTTAACTAAACCCGCTCTTTATGTAAATGAAGACTCAATCATCCAGGCCAAAAGTATCTAAAGATGAAATCATGGCAATTCAACCAAAGCTGAGCAAAGCCCATTTGTTGGGGGCTCACCATTTAAGTGCAAAGATCTCACATCTATCCTCCAGTCAAAAAAGGCATCTATTTTCCGGCTCTCAACCTCTGTCACAATTGTCCGTATGATGTCCGAGGGGGTGGGAAGAAGGCCCGTTGCCTGGAAGGCCACCTGGCTCTCCACGACGACAGATCCATTCCTAGGGGACAGAATTCAGGAGAACATCTATAGACACCAACCCCTTCCTAGCATCTTAGAACTCCAGGAATTGCCAGACAGCAGTCTAGCACTTCTAAATAAAACCATTGGAAAGGTTCCAGATTGGACAAAGCTGCATTATGGTTCCACCTCAAACATTGGTGCCATTGTCCAAAACAGGAAATCTCTGGAGAGAATGCTCTCTGCATGGACCAATATCTTATCTTTCATGCTACATGGGCAGACGGGACTAACAATGGGTTAGAATCAACACAGGTATTTTGTTCCAAATGATCCAACTGATTTGAATCTGCAATTGATCTGATAAACCGATTCAGAACTTTTCTTCTAAGAATTCAGTTGGGGGAATTCTAAAGGTAAAGGTTCCCCTCGCACATACGTGCTAGTCGTTCCCGACTCTAGTCCTAGTTCCCGACTCTGCTCATCTCCGTTTCAAAGCCGAAGAGCCAGCGTTGTCCGAAGACGTCTCCGTGGTCATGTGGCTGGCATGACTCAACGCCAAAGGCGCACGGAACGCTGTTACCTTCCCACCAAAGGTGGTTCCTGTTTTTCTACCTGCATTTTTATGTGCTTTCAAACTGCTAGGTTGGCAGAAGCAGGGACAAGTAACGGGAGCTCACTCTGTTACGTGGCGCTAGGGATTCGAACCACTGAACTGCCAACCTTTTGAACAACAAGCTCAGTGTCTTAGCCACTGAGCCACCGTGGCCCCTTTATCATACTTGAGAGTATTTGAGAGACCGCCTGCCAATTACCTCCACGCGACCAATTAGATCCCATAGATTAGGCCTCCTCCGAGTTCCATCTGCCGGTCAATGCCAACTGGCAACTACGTGGAGGAGAGCCTTCTCGGTGGCAGCTCCGACCCTATGGAACGATCTCCCCGTGGAGATTCGTACCCTCACCACCCTCCAGACTTTCCGCACAGCCCTTAAAATCTGGCTATCCCATCAGGCCTGGAGCTAAAGACTGTAACCCACCCGAATGGTATGAATGTTGTGCTTTTAATTATGTACTGTTTTTACGTGTTAAATGTTTGTTCCCCCCCCTTCGAGTTGTAAGCCGCCCTGAGTCCCCCCAGGGAAAAGGGCGGCATATAAATAAACTCTCAATCAATCAATCAATACTGGTATTTCATACCCTTCTATCCTTAATTCCATGGGTCTCTTCCTGTCTAGAAACTGAAAGATACATTTTGGCAGCCTACTTACAAGAAACGAAGAACCTTTGCGTGCAGAAAGTTCTCATAGGTAGACAGTATCTTCTTTAACTGGAAGGAGAACATCAAAGGAGATTGTTAAAGAGCAGTTTTGCCCAGAACGTTAAGAACGTAGGAAGCCAGTAGAGAAAACTCTATCTGGATAATCCATGGATATTGCGCAATGTTTTTTTTCCCCTTTGTTCAACCAACAACTTAGTTGCAATGGTGGCTATCAAGCTACACAAGATCACGAAAGTAAGAGCTGTAAATCTCAGGAAGGGCTCTTTAATGTTAATCTTGGGGTAAAATAAAGACACGGGAGTTGTATTTCCAACCCTTGTTAGCAACTTCTGAAGAATATTTAAAATGAAGAACAATTTTAACCAACATAAATACACTACTAATTCAATGGGAAGTAGGGGCCTGCTTATTTGGGCAGAGGAGCCCAGGGAGTCATGCGCCCATGCATGGAGTCATGGGGAAGGAGCACATGTGGGGGCAGGGCGCATGGGGTGGCCATGCGCGCATTGCATTATAGATGTGGGGGCATGCAATAGCAATAGCAGTTAGACTTATATACCGCTTCATAGGGCTTTCAGCCCTCTCTAAGCGGTTTACAGAGTCAGCATATTGCCCCCAATAACAATCTGGGTCCTCATTTTACCCACCTCGGAAGGATGGAAGGCTGAGTCAACCCTGAGCCGGTGAGATTTGAACCACCTAACTGCAGATAGCAGTCAGCTGAAGTGGCCTGCAGTACTTCACCCTAACCACTGCGCCACCTCAGCTCTGCGTTTTCGGCACCAAAAGATTGCCCTAGTAAGAACATCAGCATTGGATAACATTAATTTTTTTTAAAGGAAGGGAAGAAAATGCTTACTGTTAATTTGATTTCTTTTTCCAGTCTCCTATAACTTTCACAAGACTTGTTCATCAGGGAGTTTGTGTAATTTATTTTGAGGAGACGAAACCACAGAGACAGAACACGCACTGCCGGAACAGTTGAAGCGAATGTACCCAGGGTCAAATCCTCCTTCGCCGACGGGTTGAATGGCGAGGTGGTGAATTTGGAACTGGGCTGCTGTGAAGAAGGATCCTGTTGGACCCGTGTCACAATTTTGGTTCTGGGTAATGCCGTTGCGTCTCTCTCTTCCGATCTGGATCCACTGGCACCAGCAAGGCTCGTGCTCTCCTTGGGCGACCTCGTCCCTGAGATAGTGCTCAAATCCTTTCTAGCCAAGAATGGTTGGGGAGTCATGCTTTGAGCTGATCTATTATTCTGAGGTGGCGTGGAGATACTCACTGGGCAAGAGATGCTCCTACAAGTAGTCTTTGGCTCAACTGGAAGAGTTCTTTGAGTGGTCCACAGCGTAGCTGAAGCAGAAAATATAGGAGTTCCCTGGCTGGATCTGGTCTCCAGGACAGATGAAGGATATGCGGGAACACTAGAATTACTGGATGTGGTGGAACTTGAGCTACGAATGGGCAACGTTGATCTGCCAATCGCTTGTATATTATTTGCAGTGGAGGTAGTTGTGACCTGGTGTCCCATTGCATTCTCCAAGGTGGCCATCTCAGAAGAGGTACGCAAGCCGACTCTAGGAACTTTTGTAGGCAAGGACAGTGCTATTCCACCCCCTGTACTCCTTGACTCTAGAGGGAGTGGGGTGGCACTGAATGACTTTGTACCTCTAGGCATCACCTGCCCTATTCTAACTAGGTGGCCCTCCGTAATGTTAATAAATGTTTTTGAAGTTGTCTCGGGGACACTGATTCCAGAGAAGGGAATGGAGGTCATGCTTGATGATAAAGAGCGGTGGGATGGTGGGACTGAAGATCTATCAAATTCTATCAAACCTGGAAGAGAAACTGTGGGATGAGATTGTGATGGACTGGAGAGCTTCTGTTCAACAGAAGAACTGCCCAAAGACTCCACTGAAGGACTAGTGGTGTATCCTTCTAGAAGATCAGTGTAGGTCAGTCTAGTTGAGGTTGCTCCAATTGGATGTAGAACATCTCCTATATCTAAATATGGGAATGATGGAACAGCAGAGTCCGTTTTTGTGGTACCAAGACTAAACCCCTTGGTCACCAAGAAATCTGTAATTGTCTCAGGCTCAGAAGAGTCCTTTGATGTTTGCCGCATCTTGGACATAAGAGTGGTAGAACTTAGAGGAGATAATGGAGGAGCTCCAGTTCCTCTCTTTGGCAAGGCATCTACTGGCTGGACGTTGGTCAGTTTTCTGACTGAATCAGCTTCCATAGCAGTTGGAGGAGACTTTGAAGTAGGTATCTCTTCCATACTTGCTGAGATCTGCCTCTTTCTTCCATAGTGTTGGGTCTCTAATGGCTTCCTGTCATCAGTAGTGTCCAACAGATTGGTCTGAAAGGAAACTGAGATGGGCCCATCGATGGAGCTCACTGTAGGGCCAACCAAGCTTTCAACAATGGAGGAAGTGTTGTCCTTTGGTTCCAGTTTGATGGCTTCCACAAGGGAGCTATTTAGTATGCTGTGAGAAACCAAGGAGATCTCATCTTCTTTGGAAGTTCCAAAAGACAGAGTTGTTGGGAAGCTTTCGATGTGTTCTTTCAACAGAGAACTTGGGGGTTCAAGAGAAGGATTGGCTTCCTTCAGAGGGCCAACAGTTGCAGTTGCAAAAGCAAGCTGTGTCACTCCAAGTGAAACTTGGTTCCTTGGTGTCCCGGCTACAGACGTAGGAATAGTATCAATAGATCTTGGCACCATCCGATCGCTCCCATCATTAGCCGCATCAGGAGAAAATCCGGCTTCCACAGTAGATGAGCTTGGTGGACTGGAACTTGTCAACGGCGTTGTGAAATTGTCTCCAAGCTGTCGAGATGCCTGCAAGATGGAATCTGTTGTCGATGGTTGGGTTGAAGAACCCACCAATGCAACTAAGCTGTGGATAGGTGGAGAAGCCGTGACACTTTCTTCATAAGGATGAATTGCTGTGGAATCCTCTGGATCAAGATGGGATCTAGCCATTGCAGTTGACGGAGGGGAAACCTCACGGGGCTCCATCCTTCTGGGAACGTGTCCATGTGAAGACCAAGTGAGGCTCAGAGGTTCCACTTGCCGCTGAGCGGAAACCGCAGTGGTCTCTTCGGACTGCAACCTTGTCGAGATTTCAGATGTAGACATAACAAAATGAGTGGTGGTTTCAGTTGGGTGTCCAGCAGAGACCCAACGGGAGGAGAGAGGTTGAGTTACAGGAATGGTGACATCTGTGGGGGAGTTAGTAGCAACCAATCCAGCAGTATCACGTTCTTCATTATACTTGGCCGTCTGGTCAAAGAGGGTCTTCCTTGAGCTTGCCACATGAGATGGAATTGAAGTGGGACCTGGGAAGTTATTGCTAGGAGATCTGAAGAACTTGGAAGCCCCAGAGCTCTGAGTTGTTCCTTCACTACTTGAGGGGAGAAACACTGATCTTCTCTCGAGGGTGCCAAGAGACTCTGTGCCAGGAGAAGAAACCAGATCCTGAAGACTTGCACCCATTGACTTAACGCTGGCTGATGTTGAGTAAGATCTTCTACTGGTCCTCTTTCTCTCACCACTGAAAGCATCAAGAGGTTGAGGAAGAGAGGTATGAAGCTGGCCGGCATTTCTCTGACTTACACCAGTTTGATTAATTAACCTATTAAAAGGCAAGTCTGTTTTTTCTGGGCCGAGTCCAAGATTGGTGGGTTTCTCAGCCGAGACAGTCGTGGCATTGCCAACTGGCCAACCGGCAGCAGAAACTGTATTTAAAAAGCTTTGATCTCCCGTGCTGGCAGCTATGGTGATTAAAAGAAGAAGAATGGTGAAGAGAATGGACCACCTTGGTGTTCTGGCAACGCTTACTGAGCTGGGAAGAGGATATAAAATTCTTTGGTGGGCAAAGAGCAGGTCTGGAGACTGAGGTCCTGTCCCTTGGCATCTGATAGTAGAGGATCCCAACATGGCTGCTTCACTGTGAAACAACAGAAAGGAAAGTTATTTGAGTAGATGTGCGATTTCCCAGAATATTCATCCCCCCGAAACAAGTTGGGAGCAACTAAAACACAACTCCTAAACTCTCTTTTTGTGACTCCGTTCAAGCCAAGTAACTCAATTTTGGGGGGTTTTCATAACACCCAAATGTATTGGTTTGGGCCCCATTCAATTGTACAAACCATGATTTGTTTGCAAACAAACATCCTAACTAGCAAGTTTTAGACCAGGGGTCTCCAACCTTGGCAAGTTTAAGACCTGTGGACTTCAACTCTCAGCTTGTTGGCTGAGGAACTCTGGGAGTTGAAGTCCACAGGTCTTAAACTTGCCAAGGTTGGAGACCCCTGGTCTAAAACTTGCTAGTTAGGATGTTTGTTTGCAAACAAATCATGGTTTGTACAATTTAATGGGGCCCAAACCAATACATTTGGGTGTTATGAAACCCCCCCCCCCAAATTGAAGTAATTTGCCTTAACGGGCGGCACAAAAAAAAGGTTTAGG